TATATATTTACTTATTTTTTTGTTTTACAAAATTATTTCATCATTTGTGATCTTTCCGAATTGGTGCAATAGAATAAAAAAGCATACCTTAACTTTAGATCAAAGTGGTTTGTCATTTTTTTTCCAATATATGTTCTAAATTATATCTGACAAAAAGATGAGTCAAAAAAAAAAACATACAGTCAGCTGAAATGGGTGGTGACATCACCAGTCAATCATCAGATGAAAATGAAAAAAAGCTGGAAAAACACTTGCTTTATAAATATTTTGCGGCCAACATAATGCTTTAGTGTTATTCTATGGGTCAAATAGTTGAGTAAAAGCATTTGGCACAATTTGGCACGTTTGTAGAGGTTTGGAGATGCTTATGTCATCAAAGTCCAAACCCCACCACTCTGGAACTGTTTTAGCTGGAGGTCTGAAACATCTGCAGTTGTAGTTGACATGATGTAAAGCAAATGTAATACAATGAGACTTGCCTATTCTCAAGCATGTCTGTATTACTGCTTGTCAAAATAGACCTATTATTTCCGAGAAGAAAAAAACCAACTGTGAGTCATGTTTGAACTGATGCAGTTTAGGCTGTGTTTTATTCACACTATCTATATTTTCAGAAACTAGAAGGCGTTAGCTTTCAAAGATCTATCACTCATGTAATTTGGGCTTACAGTTCCTCAGTTATTTGCTTTTCCATTTAGGTATGCAAAACAGGCGAGGATTACCCAAAATGAGGTGGATGTTAAGAGGTTAAATAGAGCATAGCTGATTTCTTTTTTAAAACGGGGGGTGACAACTGTTACCTTAAGCCTCTGCTCTGCGACCAGCATGCTGTAATAAGCACAGCACTGTTCTGGAGAAACCATGGCTCTGATTTCCTCCTCTGTGGGCAACCTGAAGTCTGGCTTCAGCACCCACCAGTTGGAGTCCATACCTGAAACAAGGAGAGGACACCTGAAGCTTGACTGGACCCAGGGATCCCACACTTTGGTTGATATTTAATTCAAGTTCCTTTCAAGCATTTTCAAGGACCAATGTTCTCAAACTCAAGGACCACTCATTAAATGTGTTAAATAAAACAAGCCTTATTGAAGCACCAAAAGCTCATGAGGCCATCTAGTGGTGAGTAAATGAATATCTAGTGGGAAAATCTGTCACATCTGATGATGGATTTTAAAGAAAGTTCTAAGCACATCTGAAAACTGTTACTAAACCCTGATTATGTAAATTAAATTCAGGGAAAAGTGGTAAAAGTAAAGACAGAAAAGCTGGTTTTGTAACACGGTTTCATTTAGATAAAATACTTTTTTTTTTGGCTGAAATCTGACAAACAAAAACCTCACATCAACGAATTCCTATTAGACTCAAACCACTGACAAAACAACAATGTTTTTTCATACATCTGTGTCCATTAACACTTTATATGTATTTATGTTTATTATTTCATTTTATTTCTGATTCTTGAAAGATGCTAACATTAGCCCACTATGCTA